CGTTTCGACAAGGTTTTGTCATCATCAGGTACCCTTGTCGAAACGTTATACATTTGCTGTTATGTGAAACTTATATTAAAGTTTTTCTTCATTACCCATTCAAGCCGTCTCCAAGCATTATTAATCTCAAAGTGGGTTCCTCATCATCGTTCATTCAGCGAACCTCCATACCAAATTTGATGACGAACCATCCACACTCTGTGAAGTAGTTACATGGACATACAACAGACAGTACTATTATATATATATATATAGATATATTACTAAATATAGATTTTAATATTATAGTTTAATCTTTGGTTAATAGATGACGCTTTAGCGTGTAAAAATTATAAATTAATATAATTATTAAGCGTTGTAAGTCCGCAGACATCCCGCTGTGCCACTGGGGGGCTTTAATGCAGTGACTCATTTGAAGAGAAGAAAGACAACACTAAATTTAATGTTAACTAGGAACGCTTTTCCACATAAATATAAATGGGCCTGAGTCTCTTGACTGACTGTTCTTGTCCTCTCTAGATTTATGTATAACAACATTTAAAATCTAGGAGTAGGGGCAGTCTGAATAGGCGGGCAACCGGGAACTGCCCGGGGCTCATTGGCGCCTAAAACATGATTGATCAAATGGAATGTTTGATAGCTAGCCAGCTGACTAGTGATTTTTTGTTCTATTTTCATTCTGGGAGTGACTATAAAAAAAAAGTGTTGTTCTGAACTGTATAGCCTAAAATATAAAAAATGGTATAACAATACTTGGTAATGTGATGTGCGTACAGTGCGGTTCTTCGCTTCTACAGGGCACAAATCATTCAAAACCTAAATAAAATGATTTGTTTGTTTTCGAATATTCGCGCAAAGCTAATCAAGAGCTGATTTTGAATTTATAGACAAGAGGAAAGGCGAATAGTCAACAGCCTCGAGCACGAACTCTTGGACTGCTCTTGCCTAACCGAATAGTGGTATTTGACTGTCACCCTTATAACGCACCCACAGTACCTAAGTCCGGAACGCGATTTTTACGTTTTTCTTGTTTTGTTTTGCGATAGCGGCACACAAAAGAAGGACTCGCAGATGTAAATCACATGGATAATACGATTAAAATCACGTGGATAATACGATTAAAATCACGTGGATAATATGATTAAAATCACGTGGACAATACGATTAAAATCACGTGGATAATACGATTAAAATCACGTGGATAAGACGATTAAAATCACGTGGATAATATGATTAAAATCACGTGGATAATACGATTAAAATCACGTGGATAATACGATTAAAATCATGTGGATAATACGATTAAAATC